GATTGCTGAAGTATCTATTGTACTTAACAAGTTTCCAGAAAATTAGCATTAAATATATCCGGTGCAACCCTCAGCGGTGGGTACCTTTGACGATATGCGAACTTACATGTGCGGCCCATGCTCGACATCAATAGAAGCAGGAAAATATAGTTTAAAGCGACAGAGCGACACATATCTAACTGCATACAAAAATTACCTTCAAAATGTTTTTCTTTTTGCATTTTTTGCCATTTTTGAGACATTTCAGTACAGTATTTCACGTATCTTTGACGAAGCCTATGTCATTATACTTAACCTAAACTTGAATGGCAGTTCAATTTCTGTTTGATGCGTGCTTTAGCGTAATTTTTCTCGAGGATTTAACATTTTTCTGCGAACTTCAATAGTCTTCCATCTAACAGCTACCGAAAATCAGAAAGGCCTTCATGGTCGCTTGTTGTCTATAATCCCGGATGTACAATACAGTGGGTGAGTAAATGTGTACTTGTCAAGACAGTTGCCAGTTTTATTTTTCAGCGCGGGGAATCTACTGCTAAAATTTCAAGAGCAAGCCTAATACAGTATCAAGGAAAGCCTATTTCTTAAAAATAACAAGCATGGTTTATCTAAAAAAAAAAATCATGTCCCGAAGTAGCTTCTGAAGTTTTTATTCGTACATTCATTTTAAATGGTTTCATACCGAAATGCCGAATAGAGCAAGAGCGATAAAACTCATTTAAAATTTACTTAAATGTCCGACTCGAAGAATAAAATAATTAATTCGACTCAGAAATTCCTTTAGAAATATCTTCGGGAATAATAATACATTTAACGAACGTTTCGAGCGGAACCTCCATTTCTGTGAAGAGTTGGACTTGAAACAAATTAATCATGACCGCAGCATCATTCCGGGTTTCCCACAGAAAAGAACGGTGTTGTATGTATCATTCCTCTCAGGAAGCCAAGCCTATCTAAAGGAAAAACTTCCCGAGAATTTGCAATTTAAGGGCACTCGTCTCTAGACATACTTGTTCCGTGGAACGTTTTTGTGCGAGAAGTTCGCGTCGTTCAGATAAAACATTTATTTCACGTCTTGTTCTTCACCACTTCCGACATCGTATCGCACGAACTAGACCAACTTTCGCTGCTGCAGGCATTCGAAACTAATAGATGCTTATAACCTACGACACTTGAGAAAGTTCAACTTGATAAGATTTTAATGGAACTCTTCGCTCATTTCCATTTCGTTCTCCTTCTTTAATGGCGGCATCATGAAGATAATAGAGACCTTCTCAGTCCGCACTCCGCAGGATATGTCGCGACTTTTATTTATTCCGAACAGTAATAATACGAATAATAATATAAGTATGAATGATGCGTCTTCTTCGATAATAGGAAGATTCTTCCTTTTTTGAACTAGGATTAGCCAGAACATATCGAGCGCAGTTAATCAGAATAATCTTATTCGTGAATCAAGGACAGTGCAATACATTTCCGACCAACCATATCTTTGGGAACTGCGCTTAAATGTTACTCTGATCCGACAAATGTCACGAAAGTTCTTTGGAGTCGTTCGTTCTTGTTTGAATAAACCTGGGTATTGAAGCAACGATTAGTTTTTAAATGGCGAGTAATCGAATTTTTTCATCTGTGGAAACATTTCTGACTGAAGATGTTGGTTTTATAGAGAACGGTTCATGGAAACAGGCGTTTTCTGCATGAGATATACGACTGCGCTTATGTTGTGATACGGCGCGGAATAATTGAAGGATGCCTCATACGTTAAAGGAAATGAAGTTATTAGCTTAGGAAACGACCAACGATTATTTAGGTATTCGTAGCGTTTCGTGTTTAATGTCCCGGGCGTCCTCAGGAAATGGATGGAACAGAGTTTGCTTTAATACTCTCTCTGGAGTTCTAGACGGCCGTATACTTCCCATGAATGATGTTTGTGCATTTCACGATGTAGGAATGTAAGATCAAGTTCGAAAATGGCCTGTTTTTCTCTCAAATTTCTTCGTTCAGAAACCAAAATGTTCCTTTTTCTGCGAAGTGTCACATCTATTCCTCAGCTACTGGTGGACTAGTTGGGCTGTCAGAGCAAGAAGGCGGAGAATGGGGTGATGAAGGAAGGACGTAATGATGAAATCGGAGGCGATGTGGGCAAGTCGATAAGTTCCGATAACAAGAAACGAGTTTTGACGTGCCATTTGGTCATACAGCCATGATTTGTGCATTCGCGAAGTAATGAGAGACGCGTGGGCTCGCAGCGAAAAGCCGAGTCCCGATCGGCGTTATTGAGGCTGAGCGGAGTCGGCAACAGCCAGCAGCTGCGATGGGTTCCCCGGGCATCGGATATGATTTGTGGAATTGATTTTGTTTGGGCGAGTTTCGACGGAGCATCGGGGGAAATCGGATCGAGAAAATGAGAGCCAGAGGAGGAGGCTGTTTGAACCCTTGCTGCTGCCGGCAGCGAGATGCCGGCAGCAGATTGAGAACGAAGCCTCCGGGTCCATTTTTCATTCCGCGGCGGGCCGATGTGGGAAAATCGGCGCGGAAAGAGGGTCATTTTCAGAATATTAGGACCGAGAGAAATGGCCGGCCGTTTCCTCGACGCGGCGCCCACATAAAGCAAGCAAAACTGTCCGCTGCCGGCGATGTGGCGTCTCTTATCGCGGGACAGCTTGCGGTACTCGCGCGGAATGGAGTCAGGACACCCCCGGGAACGCGGAATCAGGACCGATTTCAAGCCTAATATTTTTCCTGTCTGATCAACGAACTGCTATATAAGGGCCAGTTTTGCGTCTTGGGCTCAGAAATCGGGGTGATGCGAGGCGCGTCATCGACTCTAACAGGCGCATCGTTGTCGAATACAGTACATGTATTACAGCGCCTCGCATCCTTTCGACAGAAAAGTAGTCTGAGACAAAGGTACTCAATTCTGTGCTCTCCGGATCCTAATCAGGGCCCCGCACGATCTTTCAGGGGGCTCCGTGTCTACTCAAAGAAAACAAACACGAAAATGCCTCACGAAATATAAATTAAGAGAAATTGTTTCAAAGTATGGGTAAGGGTTGTTGGATTTGCAATTCCAAGGTCTAAACCAAATTTAGAAAGTTTGCTTTGTCAGCAAAATAAATCAGTAAATTAAAATGCTTTCGGTGACACAGGTCTTTCATAGCATGAATATATTTACACGTGGTCATCGCCAAAAAAATTTATTGTTGGAAGATCTCGCAGGGTTTCAAAAAAATTTTGATCCCTAAAATTAAGAAGACGATTCACGATTTTTGAAGTCATCTCAAATGGTGCTTAGGAGCATGAGAATTCTTCCATTCCCTTTTTAATAGGAACGAAAAACTTTATGGATGTTCTTATTTCTAATATATTACAGTAGTTCAAATTTTAAAAATTCTTCGCGGGAATCCTATTTACTCCTTTCACTTCCTGCACCTAATATGACTGTAGATTACGAATGCATTTTTAGAGAAGGCTTCAAGTAGTTTTTTTTCACCTCGAAAAGATTGTTCTCCTTAACATGCAAAGGGAGTTTTTTATTAATTCAAACTTCCAGCGCTGACCATCCGCAGAATCTCATTTTCTTCAAGAAAGAATTAGAGGCAAAAATTGCTTGTGTTTTCCAAACGGATAGAACGATTATACGAGTATTGCAGCTTTAAAAGGGGATGCATTACATTTTAAGCAGTCAAGCTGCGGAGATAATGGGATTAGGCGGACTTCAGCTGAGGAGCCAGTACATGTTTCATGATCCAGTTAGTCCTCCTTTTGTCCTGATTCCTAGGTCACCTCACTGCGACGAAAATTTGATACACTTCTAGCAGTCTGAAAGTTCATAGTCACAGTGGATAAATGCAACATCGTGGTTATTTTTCCAATTGGAAACAGTTGCCGATTTTATTTTATTGACAAGAGTTTTGATTTTGAAGAATGAATTTTAGAATTGTTCATTTTGCTCGGAACAAAACACCAACGTTTTAGTTATTGCGCGGCACTTTTTCCTCCAGAAATCTTATTCTGAAAGATTTACATATTTATTGATTACGCGTTTCTCTGCATCTTTGCGTGACACTTTAAATGGAGTAAATGTGCTAAATTCTTCAAAATCGTCCTTTTAATGGCAGCAACAATGCCGGTTTTCCTTCACGGATGCAGGAGTTTTAGGAAAATGCTCGTCAGCTATCAAAAGATGGGGAATGTCCATGAAATGGTTTCAAATGTCCTCGAGTAAGGAAATATCTTTCATTTTCAAAAAATGGATATTCTCTTTTTTAAAATTCAGAATCAAGTATTTTTATCCAGGCAAAACGCTGTCCTGATTAAAAGAACATCCACTGATGCTGATTGGTTGATTGACTGCGTGAATTTGTCATGACAATAAAAATATGATTCAACAATTTACAAAATTGCAAGTAACTCGTGACATAATACTGTAATTACAACATGCAAGCATATCTTGAAGTTACTACAATTAGAGCATTGGAGGGAAATGAAGAGGCTGAAATTTATAAATTGTAAAATTGATACTTTGCTCAGCACTTCGATTCAATGAATCTTATTTCAGGCTCTCTTGGATGAATATCCATCTCATCGGGGTTAAGATAATCACCTTTCTATCGTTCATGCAGTACTGAACTCGAATTCGAATGATCCCTCTCTGCCGGCTATTTTAAAACGTTCAAAATGTAGTCGCAATCCTTGATCACGCGCCGTTGCATTCATTCAAGTGGAAAGCAAATAGTCTACGAAGCAAATAATGCAGTCCTGTTTTACGTAGATCTGTGAAGAGTTTCTTCTCGTTCCGTTCGCCCTCGCAGGGTTTCTATCCTCGGGTACAGAACAATAAATGAATTTCAAGAGAAGCGCAAGCAACTTGAGAGGAAAGTTATTCCAGTGCAGCAGCGCGCGTATTTAGAAAAGGCTTACAACCGGGACGTGATCCCGGATGACATCTGCGCTGTTCGGAGGGGCAACGGTCTGTCCATTACACGGGCTGTACTCACTTGTTGTACAAAACAATATCTGGAAGCCATATGTTTTCCGACGGCACGTAGAGGGTCTGCACTCCGCCGTAGTCGCTCGGCTCCCACGTCAACTTGTAGTCCTCCCACTCCTACATATATATAGAGACACACAGAGAAGAGTGAAAGAGCGAGAAGAAGAAATGCAGCTCGGAGCTGGACTGCTGCGGCGGACACGATGAAGGATCTCACCTGCTCGACCCATACGTTCGTCGTCATTATTTGATTCTTGAGGTTCTGGAAAAGAAGAGAAAGAGAAACAAGTCGTCTGATTAGAATCCGGACTATAATCAACAGGCATCTCCTGTATTGTCGACAATGCTACGGGGCTCTCTGGGGACCCCGTTTCCCCCTCCAAGTCAGATCCTCACGACAGCCGGTGTCAAATTCTCTCGAGAGGACACATTCAAGAAACGCGTTCCATCTAATCTTCTCTCGCATCCGATGCAGTCGAAAAGAGAAGCAGCCCCTTCTATACGAAAATGTCGGCATACAAAAATAGTCGAAAGTATGCATATTTTCTATTAGCGTATTGGCTTCGCGGCACCGCTTCGGCCTTTGAACCTGAGGTTAGAAACGGAGCAAAATATAGCGGCCAAAATAGAGCGTTCCATATAAAAGCTTTCTCCCAATATAGCCCGTCAGGGAAAATTTTCCTCGGCCCTTCTTGTAAAAGGGGATTTCTGTGTCGCTAGATAAATTCCTCGAATCACGCAGGGGACGGCGGAGTTGCAGCCGTTGCCGAATAAGAGGAAAAACTGTTCCATTTCGTGCGCTGGGAGCATCAACAGTATTTGTCGAGGAAAGAATCTTTGCTGTGGCAGAATTCAATGCAGCCATAAAATATAAATCCTTTCATGCTCGCAGGAGATCCAAACTCTCCACCATATCGTCTCTATGAAGTATCACCGTAACTCTAAAAGCTGCTTTCATACAAAACGCGGGACTCCGGATTTTCACTTGGTCTTCGTTTTTGACTGTCGATAATTCGGTTATTGTGAGGACCATATCTTGGGTTTTGTGACTACTGTATTTCGAAGATTTCGATTAATGAAAATGCCTCGTAGACGAAGAAAGAAATGCTTTAGATGCGTTTTCAGGAACATGTGTTTCCTAACACTCCAAGTTCTCTCCCGTAGTTTGTGGTCGCAAATCTGTGCGGAAGATAGTTCTGAAGTTAGAAAATTCTTACATAAGATAACCTTCTTGCTTAACCCCTTCCCTTGACATTTACATTTAAATAGAAGAGTTCCATTTCTTTTCACAGAAGTACATTTATTATTCTTCTCGCAGAAATTTGGTGTGAATCTATCTTTTCATGAAAAAGGAATCCGACATTATTCATGCCAAACGTAAACTCTAGAGTGTAGCACATCAAAAGGATGCGAATATACGAATTTGAATACTATATTCTTCTGAAGATTTCAAGTTTTTTTTACGTGTCAATTAGATTTCTTTCAGTAAACTGGGGCTTAAAAAACAGAAATTCTTGCAAATGACATCCGCTTGTGGCGTTCGTTGTCCTTCAAGGATTCAGCTTTGAACTAATTTAGTAGACCGAGACCGATACGGTTTAATTGTCGGGAAGTTAGCGAGGAAACGTCACCAGTCACCGCAGAATTCAATTTAATCCAAGTTATTAAAAATGCTTGAAACAATGTCCTGTATCTAAAACCGCGATCAAGCAATGATTGTGTGTCAAATCGGATATTATTTATCTCCTTCCGTCAGTCCGTGTCCGATTAGAAGAAATTATAAGTCACCCCATCCGGTTTGATGAAGGACACTTTTTTAGGATGCATTTTTTAAATGCAGCTTCAAGACAGATGCAGCTCGATAATTTTTCCTGAAAATTCCGAGAAAGAAGAGAACATAATGCAGGGCGCGATGTACAATGCGTGATGGCCCACGCACTGGATGTGGCAACTGAGAATGATGTGACTTTTGAAAATTTAGCGTAATTTCCTCAGCAAATTCTATATTATCACCATGCAGTCACTGCATCTGGGGTGTTGGCCGCGTAGATGAGATTAAGATGCGACCTTTACTTAAATTAAGAAGTAACTAAATTGAACTTACAACTCATCGAGCACATAGGCAGGCAGCACCCGAGCTTCTCAGGGCACTACATACGGGGAGAAAGTGTATCCTATGATATACATGCCTTGGCTGACAGAAACATTCATGCGTGGTGTTTGAGCGGAAGGAAACCCGTACTTCACCGAAAAGGTAGGGGTATGGGGGAGAATTTTTCTGAAGGCTGATGCTTCCGCTGAGACGTCGCGAGCCCGAAAAGAGGGGGGTTGTTTCGGAAAAGCAGCGTCGACGCATCACCCAGAGACGCCTGGTCATGACGGGCTGTTAATTCACCGCAATGGCGCGCACATGGCGTCTGCGTGGCGGCACCGATCCCTGGACTTTTGATAATTGGGAAATGAAGGACAACGTTTTTATGCGAGAGCGAAACGAGGCCCTGCCTGGGAGAGGAGGAGAGACGCCGGCGGGACGCGAGCGGCATGAATAAAAAATTGAGAACGGTAGGAAGAAGGCCCAGATGTAGTTGAAGGCGTCCGCAGCAGAAAAGCTATATCTTGGAGGGAGTAGATACATCGGGCTTCTGCTCCGGCCCAGCGCCGTCGGGCAGGAACAGCTCCTGCGCCGGGATCCCCTGTCTCTGTCATTGCCGCATCACAAGGAGCGGAGGCAAACTTCGATTTGCCATGCCACCCTTCCCGGTGCGGCTGTAGAACGGAGCAGCAGCCTTGCTGCATGCTCGCCGCTTCCAACCAAATCAACTATATACGACGCCTTCGTTGTTTATCCCGTGCCAGCCACGACCAACACCCGTCCTTCAGACTCCACTTGCTCAGACCTGATCACCGCATCCGGGGATCCGTCCTCTGAAATTTGCGCGACTGACACCTCTCATCCAAACTCCTCGCACCTGCTTTGTCTGCTCTGGGGTTGATGCTGATGAAATTTAGACGACGCGTGGTACTTCGGCTGCGTTAAAAATAAGAAAACGGCTCACCGGATATAATCCGTCGCTCAAGAAAACCTGCTGCTGTAAGTGTAAAATGAACATATTCATCTCAGATCCTTCACCGGGCAGCGGCACTCTCTAGAAAGGGCTCCTCGTTTCCCGCGGTGTAGAATTACACACATGGGGCTCCTGACCTTTTCAAGAATTCTTCCGTGGAACCGCGTCACTGTTTCTCCCGCGACAATTTCGAGTCTCTCATTTGAGGTTTAAATTTGAACTGTTCCAAATATGATTTGCGTGGCAACAGGGGAAGTCTTCTCGCAGCTCCTCAGTTGGTTTGACGAGGGATGGAAAATTAGGGGGGATGCATGCTCATTTCGGACGAATCCATCCTTTCTATTCGAAACTTGAGGCCCAAGAACTCCAACAACCCTGAACGATTCACGAGGGCGAGAAACCTATTTTTCAAAGCAGAACCAGGAATATCCTCTATAGTAAAGCCTTACTGGTGAAAAATAATTCTGCTTCAAAGGGACCTCTGGACATGCTTTGGAGTGTTCCCTTTGAGAAGGATTCGGGATAGATGCTGAGGATCAGACATCCTGAAGCACAGTTCAGAGCTCTCTGTTTCTTTTGACAGCAAGGACCTCGGAGATGCTTTCAAAACGCTCGGACATGCACTTATAGATGGCCCTATCTGTTTGCAATTTTAGACTTTTTTCAATTTTACAAGTGATCTTCATTTTTTATGAAATGTCTTACTGTTTTGAGGCGCGCATATAACTCTTTAACGACTTTTTGGACACACGACATTTTGAAGGTAGCTATCCCATCGCAACACTGATCAAATCCCTGAATAATCAAGTGCCTGCAGTTCATGCATCTTACAACCCTAAGAAATTTTCTTCGTCGACTCAAATTCGAAATTACTCTTTGCACTGTATTGTGTTTCGTGGACACGTATTTCCTTGCTGACAGAACACACCCTCTTGTAAAATTATTGGGCTGAGAAACTCGAATGCGGCCTATAATCAAGAAAATTATTCCTCAGACGAAGCGTCCCTGGCCCGAGGCCGACTAGTTTTGAAGAGATCAAGTCAAGGGTTGACGTAAGACAAATCCTGCTAAACAAAAGCAAACGCAAGATTCTTTCCTGTTTGATTTCCCATTGTTTTATCGGGCTTTTCCCGCAAATCAATAAATTTTAAAGCAAGCGAATGTAATCTTTAATTAATTTTATTTCTATGGCGATTATAAATAAATTGAAATTATTCTGTCCTAGGCGTTTTGTCATCTCTAAAAATGCCCAATTTTCCGCTACACATATGGCTCAAGAATGTATCCTCAAATTGCTGTCGAAACTGAAGGAGTCACGCGGTAATGCCCATGATCCCAAGAATGCAATATTTACGAATGCTTTTGGCAAAAAAGTGGTGACCTCGTGATAAAATTATAATTAAAAACTGACCTGAGCCACGAAATCGCATCATCGGGTGATCCCGCGAATACTAACGTTGAAGAAACGACTCAGAAGCGTTTCTTATCGGCAATTTTAATTGCACGAGTCTCAGTGCAATCACAACAGCAACCAAGGAGGAAACATTTTTTGATTTTAACGATTTCAAAGTTTGGGGTTGCTTTCGAAATGGTTGCCAGAGGGGAAATCTTAAATTAACCGCTCTCCATTCTCAAGGACGGGCTGGACACACCTGCTATCAAGTACCGAGCAGCTTTGACCCTGCTATGATACATACACTCAGTCGAAAGAAGACCTGATTTTTGCCGGTTCATGGAAGCGAAGGAGTCAGTCCGGACGGATGTCCGATGAAATACACGGTCGTCCAGCAATACCCGACGGACGGGACACGACATTTCCATCCCGAATGGCCAGCGGGTGCAGCATAATAAGGCGCATTAATCCACCGCCCGTTGCTTGCAAAACGCTGTCCGATGGGAATCCGATAATCGGCAAGAGAAGCAACCAAGTGCGCCGTTTCCCTTGCTATAAGCGCCGACATTCATTCCCTCCTCGCCGAGATCTCCTTTGTTTGATTATCACTCGCGTCTGCTCATTAATTGCTCCAGACTCTGGAATCCGGGATCGCTCTTCCCGTCGGCTTTTCTTCCTCGCGACTGCCATTCAAGGCATACATAATGCTGCCAGATTTTCGTCGGCACGGGCTACTTCCGATGACCGGAACTTCGATGAGCGCCGCAGTCTTTTCCTAGTCCCGTCCTGTGGTTTGCCATAAATACTGTATTGAGAGGAGCAATCGTGGCTCAGGCGCTGGCCATCCTGCTGGAATGAAATGCGGTAATCCAACACTTTTTTCCTCCTCGGCAGGAGCAGCAAGTATTAATCCGATTAAGGCCACGTTGTTCCCCGGCCGACAGCTGCTGTATGTATGCCATGAGAACAGAAATCGAGGAACGTTCCTCTCTCCTTTCAGACCTCGCCGAAAAAGAACCCCGCGTTCTTCCGAGCTTAGACCCAGCTAAAAAGCCATATTTCCAGATACTCCTCGACGGAAAACGACTTCATGATGCGGAGCATCATGTTGCACAAAAATCACTGTTTTTATCAAGTCAGAGGCCAATTCATGCGCGCAGTCGAATGATTAGAAGGATATATCCCCAATGAGATGGATCTGAGCTTTTAAACCTTTTCTACATGGTAACACTTACATGGCTTCGCAAGGTACATCAATTGACTTTACCATACATCAAGTAAAGTCAATGGTCGAACTTGAATCAGCATTTTCAAACGACACACAATTTAAAATCAAGATCTAAATTGCTAAATTTTTCAAGTAATTTTGTTTGCCGAACTTGATTTACTATTTTTTCCAACCCCTTTTGCCCTCTACCTTTTTTTTTCAAGTAGTACTTGTCGTATACAGTACTGTATTTCTTATAATGCATGCTGCGCTTTTTTCTGCTTCGACAAACTCGATTGCACGCTAGAAAAATCAAGGGTGCAATTTGACAAGTGTTGACGTACCACCGGTTGAGAAAGCCCTTAGCGAGAGTTTATAGGCAGCTTTTCGAAGGTGGGCTTCTGACACGGTGGTGTTTCTGTGCGGGATACATTCTGGCATGGTCCGCATGCCAAAGGGGTGCATTGTTCGACGCCGTATGGGGAGATGAAGGGCCACATTTCTTCACGACGCGGAGCATCGTCTTCCCCTTATTGCGGTCATCCATTGGCAAAGTTGGTCCCGCAAAACCTGCCATGAGGGCTTTGTGGGGAAGCGGAAAAAATCGCGGCGGGAAAACAAGTGTATTTCAGGATACTTTCATTTGCGGCCCGGCTGGCCACTTAGCGGAAGTGGACGAGGTCATTAGTCCCGGAGTCGTGATATTAATGGACGCCGAGAATCAACTCCAACAGCGAACCGCAGGGCGACGGATACGATCCTCAGCCCTGACCTCGTTCCAGAACGCGGAACTTGGTGAGAAATCGTGTTTCTTGCGTGCGACGAGTACCTACAGAGGCCTCTAATACAAATCCGCGCGTTTCCGGAAGCAAAGAACAAGTCCGCGGAGAACCGAGAGAACTTTCATCCCACCGCCTTGCCGAGGAAATCCGCGGGTCGATCCCGGGATCGATGAAAATCCCGCAGATATTATTTGTTTTCCTCGTCACACAAGCTTCTCGCTCTTGAGCGCAAATTCGCTGAGATTCTGACTTGTTAACTCTCGCTTCCGCGGCCGGAATACCAATTATTACGTGCTACGTTGCGTTCAAGCAGAGTGTTCTCCAAGCGGATTTCTTTTTTTTTTATTCTTCGCACACACACGCACAAACTAGCGTCAGCCCGCGCTTATTACGACATTTAATACTGTTTACGTGCGCCGCGGAATTAGAGCAACAAGAACCGTGGGAACGTTGACAGCCGGCTGGTAATGCTATGGTACTCACATAAGTTTCTTAAGCGCTTCGCGACTGAGCATCATACTTGTACGCGTACCGGTCGTATTTCCTGCGGAGACAGGAAGAAATCGTCCGCTTTTCCTCCGCCGCACTCTCAACAGCTTTTCGAGTTACATCACGAAGTTAGCTCTCGTGCCATGCTAACTTCTCAGAAGCAGTTGATAAAATTATTTTTTGTTTTTGCTTTCGGGATGTTATTTTGGGGGAATGTGACGAGCGAGTACTGCACTCGGGATGGTTCGAATAAGCAATTTCCGCATTAAAAAAATATATGCATATAAATATTAACGGCGTTGGTTCCATGTGGTGATCAACGCAATTTAAACCCCGTCAAGATATTGGCATTCTATATTTAGAACTTTGAAATTTGAAAGGAAAAACCGTATACTATATACAAATGGTCTTGGGCGCATTATTCGTGCGAAGAATTTTGAGGCAAAAAATCTGTAGAGTACGAAAATTTTAAACTTCGGGGGATGCTGCGTGGACTTGACAAAAATCTGCACATTTCCCATATTAAAATTCAATAAAATGCTAAAATGAATCTTCTGGTTACTATATATCGATTTAGAACCCTCATGCTGGGGCAAAGCGAGTACATGTTCCGGATGATAAGTGCTCCACGCAATATAGCATAATTCCAATTCATTTGAAATATTTTGAGCGTACAATAAACCATATACAGTATATGCGCACTGGTTTTTGATTTCGTGGTATGAACATTATTTTGATGAAGCATTTCGAGTATTGACAAGGTAAATAGTTTCGAAACATTTTCTGTATTAAAACTGCCACGCATATAATCACGAGTATTCAGTACAATAGAACCCGAATTATTTGGCATAATTGCTTCCTTCTCCTGCATACAAAACCTCATGAATTATTTAAAATACATGATGGATACAAATTCAAAAGTATGATTTTCTCAATATCATCGATATCGAAATTCCAAAATCTGGAGTAGCACCTTCATGAAATTTGTTCACTTGAGGTACATTTTTATATTTTCAAGTATAAAATGTATATTATTCAGATCAGAATTCAACATTAATTTCAAAATTAAATAATGCTTATTGGAGGGGAATATATTGGTTGAAATCGAAATTACATGAATACAGTGCTTCGGTTTCCGTTGCTCAACGTGGAGTTGTGTCACTGTTGATCGAATGCTGGGCTATGTAGGCCGGATGATCCAATTTATACTGTGAATCCCAAAATCAGCTTTTTTTTCGTTTCAAAGATAGGCAATCAATTTTTCGGACCGTCGCATGCATTGCTAATTAATAGCAATTCGGATAGTAATTAATCTGTCGAGTTACCTTCGTACGAATTTTCATATCTGAAACGTTGTTCTGTGAAGATGCTTTGCGTTGAGACTATCCATTCAGGTCGGCTTGATATGCAGCTTATTACATTCCCTGGATATGATTGTATTTTTCGTGTTTCTCGCAGATCTTCATCGCATGTAGGTAAGGAAGGAAGGCTACGGTTTTCGAGAAGAATAATTGGAGGTACAGTGTAGGCTTCATTCGTTAAAGGAGATAGCAGTTTTCTAAATACAGTACTGTACATGAATGTTGACCGTTCTATCTCAATCACCGTAACATCTGATTAAAAAAGCTGCATCTTTTACATCGACGGAGAGCTTTTGATGTCTCGAAATTGCGAGCACTGTACTACATTCGTGACGCAACTGAATCTTCTTCTCATTTTTACAAGAACATCACCGAGGTTTTCGAGAAACCGATGCAATTGCTGGTATTTTGCAGATGATGCACATGCTGATTGTTGGGAAGCACAGGATTCGGGGGATTTATACTGGACGAAAAACAGACGAGACGCGAGGAAACTTTTCGAGAATCAAGACGAGATGAACAACGACTGGTATACTCCTGATGGAATCGGGCGTGCATAAGGGGTCAAAGGCGACTCCTCGCTGTTAAATGGAGTTGGAAAGGGATAAAAGTTGCGCTACTCACCACTTCAATTAATTGGGAAAGTTTGAGCCCCATCTTGACAGTGAGGCGGTCTGTGCTGTTGCCGACGGGGCGGATGAGCCGGTTGTAAGCGGACAGGAGGTCGTCGTAGAGCCGCTTGGCGTCCGGACTGCCGTCGACGCCGATGAGCAAAGGCACGGCGATGAACCATAAGCAGCAATGCGGGATGAGCTTTAAGCGCACGTGCGACCTGACCGAGGTCACTCGCGCGGCGCCGAAGGACCTGGCGTGCCCGCAATAACACGTCTGACCCATCTCGCCGCCGCAAGTCTCGCCCATGCGATGAGTCCGTGGAGCCTGCGGAGCCTTCATGGGCACCAACGGGCCATGGCACTCAGTCCCTGCGGCGCGGCTCGCACTTGGCACTCTTCCATCCAATCACTTCGCCCGACGCGCGCCACGGAGAACCCGCGTCCTCATGCATCATCTCTGTAAGCGGATACATCATTTCAAAATCATACGGAACTCCTCCAGCCTCGAACCATGCTATTTCCAGCGCCGTACGCTTTACTCCGCCAACCGCGTCGCCGGATTATGACACAGCTCTCACACGCATTCATGCATCCCAGAATCAACCCTTTCCATGCATTTTTATTCCGTGTCATTCACACTGCCTCTCGTCCTCTTCGCTAACGTGCTGTCGGATACGCAGCATACTGTGCGCGAATAAACGGGAAGAAACGCGTCGTTTCTATGCGTTGCATATTAAAGGCCACGAACTTTCGAAGGATCAATCTACAGTAGTTAGAGTACAGTTCGGCCCAGGATTTAGTGCCACTCCCGCTTAGTACAAGCAAATGCACCTGAACAAATTATTGTATCCTTTTCCTTTTCTTGGAGAAAGCAATGATGAAACGAGTAGACCTTACACAGACTTAACATTTCCATCACACACCAGGTCCTTCCTGGCTTCCAAATGAAAAACTTTGTTCCCGAAACACTCTATTACGTAGTATATAAATAAAATTTGAAGCCTAAATATTATTTAAACGTGGAAACACCACGGGCGATGACCCAAACATTCCGTCTTGAAATTGAGCTCTTCAAATATCTCACGAACACTGCATATTCATCACAGTAGCTCAGATCACCGCAGTCAAACGTTTAACCAGTAGAGACACTTGGATATAATGTAGATAGTTCCATGCAAGTGCATGTTTCACGAAGGAATCACAGAACATGCGAACACGCAAGCAAGGTTGTTTACGAACACTATATAAGTATTGTTCATGAAATTTACAACATTTATTGAAAGAAACTGACGGACCTTTTCTCAAGACAGCATTGCTGCAGCCATTCGAGCAATGGCTTAGAAAAATTGGGAAACTAAATTCAATTTTTGGTGTTGATGTAGATAACTATACTATACGTCGTTATCAAACAACATTGCACTAAAAATATACGAAGCTTGCCCTCGGACCATTGAGGGTCGCGAATGAAGTACATACTGAATATTGTTCCAAGAGCGTTAAAATGAATTTTGCTCCAAGAAAAAATCATGAGATCAGTAAAAAGAAGTTGAAAAGCACAAATTGAAAAATAACTAATGTTAAATTTTTATATATTTGAGGAATCAATTACTCTATAATTCCCGAATTGGCAAAAGAATAATATGTCTAATGATGAATAGGTGACTGCTTGAATTCCATTCATTCAAAAGTACATACGTCACCGAGTGAAGAATACACAAATTAGCTTTGAAGCAAACATGGCTCTTTTTCAGTCTTCCCCAACGTTCCGCAATTCTTCTTGCAGAAAGCGCTATCGCCAGTAAATCACTTCGGATCTCTTCTCTTTAAAAAAAACCCCTTTCGGAAGGTTAGAAGCTGTCGAACACATTTTCAGCACTCAACAAATATTTCCTTTAAAAAACGTGCGATGATGAATACCTCCTCTTCTCGTTTTCCTGAAGCATGTTTCACTTATCCCAGTACTGCATATCGCGGAGCATTTACAATACTTCATCATCCCATTCGGAATATCGAGAGATTCGCTGACGACAACTGCTTCTGTATTCATGGGAATTCTTAATGTTTCTCTTCGTACGACTTAATTACGAAAAGTAAATTCTGCCGCGAGCTTTCTCAAAGACTTCTGAGAAATTTAATACATATTTTCAAAAGTACACAAACCCCATGATTGCAGAACTCGAATTGCGTATTTAGATCGCTATGCAGAGTGACTTTATTTTATCATCTGATTGTTTGCGAATTTATCTTGATCCAGAGCGCATTTCCTTCAAGCATGTAATAATACTTTTTCGCGTTTATCATTTCAGTATACAGTATAACGCAACATTGAATCGTTTCCAAATGAATAAAACCTAAACATACAAGTATCATAGATTTTTCTCGCATGTCGGATCTTGATCTTATCATTAAGAATGCAAAGCATATGCGTGCAGAAAGAATGCATATTGGATTAATTCCCTCAAGACTGATGCATCCAGCTTATCAAGTCATATATCACTTTCAAATGTGTGCGCTGCATTAAAACAAACGAGAAAGAGCAGATATTTTTAGAAACACCGGAGGTACGTTCACTGTTTCTGCTACAATGTCCTTGAGAAAAGAATAAGCTGCTAACGAATGATCAGTCCCGTGCTGGATGGTTAGCTACATTAGACCCTGAAGAATGATTGTTGGAGGCAAATAAATCACCCTAAAACTCGTGTACCAACCAGAGTCCCCTTTTTCAAGAATAGGTACGATCATAAATCTCATCGCAGATCGGTGAATAACCAGAATTTCATCATTTTCAAATTCAAAAATTGATTATGTTTTGGTGTTAGAAGCGCACTAAGTAAAATGTACAGTATTTGTAATACTGTATTTCTGAGAGGAATTCGACGCATCTTGATTGACATTTTCAGCATTGCGTTACTCCAGATCGTCGGAATCTCTGGAGTTTTTCTGGACTTCATTGTAAAATTTATGTTTAGTAAAATACAAGATGAATGCCCTCGCATTATGTTCCGAAGATCGCAGACAGAGTTTGACAACTATATTCAATTCTTACCTCATTGCATCACGACAGGAAATTTGGAAAGTTGAATATTAATGCGGAAATACTTCCCAGCAAATAATATAGGACATCATTTTTCCTGTATATACCGTACTTCGAGTTCGGTTTCTAGAAAAGCAGCCGAAGAACGAAATAACCTCCGGCAGCTCATCCAAAATCTGGCCGACAGTCATTATTTTTTTTCTTAAAAAAAAAGAAACAGATCGAAGCGAGTTGAAACTGCGGAGTGGCTTATTCTTGAATTTGTCTCGTTCACTATTTTCGTCGCGTGCAAGTACCTTCTGAAGGTTTTCGTTTCCTTCGTTGCGTGTAGCATCTCCTCAAGACCCTTGTTAGTATCGGTGAAGTGCAAGACACGGGGAACTATAGTGCGTTTGATCATGAATGGTGTTGGCAGGCGAAAAAAGAGTTGGATCCGGACTGTTGATAACTCAGCTTCTGCTGGAGAAACTGGGGGGAACATGCCGCTCATAAGGCGCACAAAAAGGTACTTGGTTGCTGCAACATACTCGGCTCCGGGGTTAAAATCAATCTCGTGCAACCCAATTATTTTCCCTCTCCAGGGCTCTACATGCTTGGGCACCTTGCGCTAATCTCAGAAAGAGGAAAAATAATATGCTCTGAAGGTTTTATGAAGAAAAACGTCCTCCGCGTCCGCCACGTGATTAGAAATCAAAGCGCTCCGCAGAGATTCGGCTCTGACTTCGCCGCCACAATTCAAATCACATCCATTATGCATTGTGAATCATTCACGGTTTAGTATAAGAAACGCGTGCCATTTGCAGAAAAACATATGCTAATGAGTTTCAAAGGCTAGTTATAACTTCAATGGGTAAAAATTATGAAAATCTCAACGAATAAGTTTACCGAGCAACTTTACTTGCAAGTACTCTACCTTGTTCTCGAGATGTAAGCTCTCAAAAAGCTGATGCGGCAAGAAATCGGAAACGAAATGGAATGCAGATTTTTTTGCTTCCCAGTTCTTCATTTTCCAGATTTGTAATTTACAGGATCAATGACGAGGGATAATTTCAAATCAGAATGACATTATCTCAATTTGGACCTCTCAGCGTTGCAACAAGTTTTGTTGACTGCCGCATTAAGAAGTAATGTATAGATGATTCCAGAATGCCCTTTTGGCATTTTCGAGGATTGAACCATTTCCGAGATATAGGCCAATGTAACACGTGAATCACCCCGTGAAGTAGCATCAAAGCTGGGCTTATCATGGCTCCAAGAATTTACGTACTGTATGTTCAGAGTTACGACCTGAAATCGGGCATTACTTCATGTTCAATCGAATGATCCTTCACTTTTGAAATGAATGCCCCTCATGACTTCCTCAGTTGGTTTCAAATTCTAGTTTGGAATAAAGAAGTTGACATTTCTTGAACCAATTTAGTTTTCAATTGACCATTCATTGCCCGACAACTGTACCCCATTTCACTGTGCAGTGGTACGTAGCATGTTTGTTTTCTCTCCTTTCAAACCGGTTCGTAATTGTCTTGTTTACATTTTATTGTCTGCATACAAATGACTGAAAATATAGTCAAAACACGCAGAATCGTTTTTTTTTATCCAGTCATTTAACCCCACGCTTCCCGCAGTGACGCCCATTTTTAGCGACCTGAAATACGAAGTGTAATCGTGAATTCGGAAATCATAATTTTAAATTTCTTCTCGAGAAAAATGTTTGAAATGCTAGTATGGGAAAGCAAATGTGGATCCGAATTAAGATTCTCGGCTGGAAGCCATAGTCAATGTGTAACTCCCAGGAAAATGTCTAAGCGTCGGTTTTTGCGTGACAAAAACCCGGGAGTAAAGCCCGACACTTTCATGCTAGTGACGGAAGGTTGCTGGCGAGGTGAGTGACTTCACGTTGAACGCGAATACCGTTGGATGAAACTCGAACAAATGGGCCCGACACTGCCACGCAAGCCAACCCGCTGGGATCGTTCACGGGGGGTTTGTGCACCCCCCGTTGCTGGTGGCTCAGGCTTCATTGTCACGATGACCTTATTTTTGTGACCGAGGCTCAGAAGCCCGCATAGGCAATGAGCCAATAATATCGTTGGCAGTGGTGGCAGAATCGAAGATATGCTAATCGTGGATTGAAAGCCTCACATTGACATCCAAGCTCCGGCGAGAAAGATGTCTTGACCTCGCCCAGCTCGACAGAACCCGCTTCGTTCCCCCGCGAGAGCCGCCCGACAGCATGATTTCTGGAACGGGTTTGCGTCGGACGCCGACCTCATTAATATGCAAGAGCTCTTATTACCATGCACAAA